TCTGAACCTTCCTGAAGGGTTCAAAATTCCGAAGTTTGACACATTCGGAGGAGTGGGTAACCCCATGGCTCATCTGATAGCATATTGTGACCAGCTCGTGGGAGTTTGCAGGGATGAGGCCTTGTTGATGCGACTTTCAGCCTAAGTCTGTGTGGGGAGGCCCTTGAGTGGTTTACTTCATAGGAAACCAGGCAGTGGCCCAGTTGGAATGCGTTGGACAAAGACTTCATCGACCGATTTGCCTACAACGTCGAAATACTTCCCTATCTGTATTCTCTAGAGAAGATGAAGCAAAAACCAACTGAAAGCTATAGGGAGTTCGCCTATAGGTGGAGGAAGGAAGCAGCAAGAGTAAGACCACCCATGACCGAGAAAGAGGTTGTGAAAGTGTTTGTGTGGGTTCAGCAGCCAGAATACTACGATAGAATCATGTTGCTCGTTGGAGTAAAATTTGTTGAGATAGTCAAAATTGGCGAGACTATCGAAGACAGTTTGAAATCGGGGAAGATATCCCGTGTATCCGTGTCACCTGGATCTTCAAGATTGATGAACAAGAAAAGAGAAGAAGTTGACGTTGTCTCGTATGGGGGAAGAAAACCCCCAAGAAACTGGTCGCATTCCCAAGGTTGTTCCAGGCCTTTGCCAAAGTCTCACAAAGCTTACTACCCGCAATCCAATTATCCCAATAATCATAATAATACCGTCACTTATCCAAAAGCCCAAATTTTGCCGTACCAAAGTCCACCCCTATATCTCCAAAATTTTGACCCAAATTACGCTCAACCTTACCAAATTCCATCTCCCTATCAAAATATGCTCCCAATTGTGCCAATATACAGTGGAGCTACCGAGGAACCCCGCCCATTTATCAAGTCCAGGCTCCATTATACAAAAATCCCCTTCCAAATTACCAAGCTCCATCGCCAAATTATCAAACAAACCCATATCCTAGAAATCAAGCTCCCCGTCCGAATACCCAAAATTACCAGCAGGTGCCTCCCACTCAGCAAAGCAGTTATGACCCTTCCCGACCCAGATTAGAAATGAGGCCCTCAAGGAACTTTACTGCACTTGCTGAAAGCCTGACCAAACTGTATGAGATACTGGCTGCGGCTGGATAGATCCACCATTTGGGGCCCAAGCCTGTGAATGTCAATTTAAAGTTCTAAAAGCCAGATCAAAGATGTGCTAATCATTTCAACAGTATTGGACATGACACAAAAGATTGTATCAACCTCAAGCACAAAATCTAGGATCTGATCGATCAGGAGGTAGTTTCTCTCCAACCGGCGGCGCCAAATGTCAATACAAACCCGTTGCCGAATCATGGAGGTGGCAATGTTAATATGATTGAAACGGATGAAGACTGGTGTGGAACGAAGATGATTACTCCCATTGTGCATGAGGACTTGGAAAGGTTTGTCGCTTCTTTAAGCGTCAAAGAAAGGAGAGAGTTTGTTATTTTGACACCTACAAAGGTTGTTGCCTTGGTGCCGCCAGAAACTTTCGTCAAGCCCAAATTTGTCATTGAAACTTCTGCGGCTCAAGGAATGACCAGGTCTCTAAGGTGCTACACTCTTGACGAGCTTGCTCTCGGAGGATAGAAGAAGGACCAGGTAAGAGGCCGATAAGCGAAGGAGAAACGGAAGAATTCTGGAGAAGTATGCAACCAAAGGATTATTCAATCGTCAAACATTTAGAGAAGACTTCGGCTCAAATCTCTGAATGGGCCCTACAGATGAGCTCTCAGTCCCACAGACAGGCCTTAATGAAATCTCTCAATGATACATATGTACCCTCCGGTACAAGTAGTGATAATGTGGCTACCATGATTCATCAGGTTATTCGAGGGCACCGGATCAACTTTTGTAACGATGAGCTGCCAGTCGAAGGAAGATCACACAACAAAGCGCTGCACATTACCGTGATATGCCATGAAAAGGTTGTCAACCGCATTTTAGTAGATGACGGATCTGGTTTGAAAATCTGCCCATTGTCTACATTGAGGCAACTAAGGTTTGACCTTGGGAAACTGGAGCAAAACTAGGTCAATGTGAGAGCTTTTGATGGGGTTCAAAGAGACACATTGGGGGCAGTTAATTTGACCCTTCAAATGGGCCCCGCAGAGTTTTGCGCGCAATTCCAAGTATTGGACATACATACCAGTTACAACCTTCTTCTAGGAAGGCCGTTCATCCATATGGCTGGAGTCGTTCCCTCTACTCTCCACCAAATGATGAAGCTTGTATGGAATAATGAAGAGTTGGTTATTCACGGCGAGGGGAGTCACTCGGGCAGGAACGTTCCGATCACTGATGAGATACCGTGAGGTATAGACTTTTACAAAGTGGAACTTGTGAATTCCATCGGTGAATATTTGGCCCCACAGACCCCCATGTCAATCGTATACAAAATGATTGCCACTGTGATGCTGCAGAATGGTTTCAAGCCAGGCTTCAGATTGGGAAGAGATTCCCAAGGAATTATTGAGCCTGTTCAGTCCTCGTTAAGGGATCCAAATATGGTTTGGGGTACATCCCCAAAGATGATGACATGAAGGTGAAGAAGAAAAATGATCGATCTTTGACTAAGCCGATTCCACATCTGTATCAGTCCTTTCCAATCCGAGAGTATGCCAAGCCTGAAGACTTTAGGGAAGGAATCTGTGACTTCTTCGAGGAGATCGATGTTGTTGTCAAGGAGGAGGTCGAGCTAGCTGGTATTCGCGATGCTGAACCAGGGGAGGTGCTCCTTAACTGGACCTCCACGCCGATCTTAATGCCCCTAACTCTTCAGTAGAAAGGCGTCATTTCATGCACATTAAAATTGGTGGTTGTCCGGAGGAGTCTCGAGACCCACCATTTTTGCATTTTTCTTAACCGTTCATATTTTTGAATTTTCATTGTGATGTTGAAAAAGGCTGCATGGCCCCATGCCATGGCCAAAGTTGCATTGTTTTAAATGAAAGCCTCTTTATTTTTAACTTAATTTATTTAGTTGTTTGTTATGCCTTACTTTCCTAATTTTGTCTATTTATGATTTCAGTAACATAAATTACAGAACTGCCAATGTCATGTCATGTCACAAGCTAAATGAACAAAATGAGGCAGGTGACGACAAGGTTGACAATTACAAAGACAAAGTGGGGAACCAGATTATGTCCCCGAGGAATTTTGACAGTTTGAGAATTAGCATAAACGGAATCTAGAGGAAACGGAAATGGTGAATTTGGGAATTCCGGAATGTTTTAAAGAGGTTAAGATCAGCACCCACCTGAATGAAGCTCAGAAAGAGGGCCTAGTTCATTTGCTTGCCGAATATAGTGATGTGTTTGTTTGGGAAGTCGGTGACATGCAAGGGTTGAGTACCGATGGCGTATCTCACAAGCTACCGATCAACCCGGGGTTCGATCTGATGAAGCAAAAAACTCAAAAATTCAAGCCTAAACTGACTTTGAAGATTAAGGAAGAGATCACCAAGCAAATAGAGTCCCGATTTGTTGAAGTAACACAATATCAATCCTTGCTGGCCAATGTTGTTCCGGTTGCCAAAAAAAGGCAGGAAAATGAAGATTTGTGTTGACTAAAGAGATCTCAACAAAGCTAGCCCGAAGGATAACTTTCTGTTGCCGAATATTCATATTTTGATTGACAACTGTGCCAAACATGAGATGCAGTCATTTGTGGACTGTTATGCAGGCTATCATCAAATTCTGATGGATGAAGAAGACGCGGAAAAAATGGCTTTCATTACACCTTGGGGTGTATATCACTACATGGTGATGTCGTTTGGCATCAAGAATGCCGGTGCCACTTACATGAGAGCTATGACGACTATTTTCATGACATGATTCATAAAGAGATTGAAGTGTACGTGGACGATGTCATAATCAAATCCCATGAGAGTTTGAATCACGTGACACATCTAAAGAAATTCTTTGATCATTTGCGTCGATATAACTTGAAGTTAAATCCCGCCAAATGCGCTTTTGGAGTTCCAACCGAGAAGTTTTTGGGATTTATAGTCAGCAGAACGGGTATTGAGCTTGACCCCTCAAAGATTAAAGCAATTCAAGAGTTATCTCCGCCAAAGACAAGAAAAGAGTTGATGAGTTTCTTAGGGAGGTTAAACTATATCAGCCGATTCATAGCTCAATCAACCGTGGTATGTGAGCCTATTTTCAAGCTGTTGAAGAAACACGCACCGACAAAGTGGACCGAAGAGTGTCAGACCGCTTTTGATGTTATCAAGAACTATTTGTCCAATCCACCGATATTGGTTCCTCCGTGAGAAGGGAGTCCTTTGTTGCTATACTTGTCTGTTTTAGATAGTGCCTTCGGATGCTTACTTGGTTACCACGACAATATAGGAAAGAAGGAAAGGGATATCTATTATATAATCAAGAAGTTTACTCCATACGAGTCTCATTACACTTTGTTGGAGAGAACGTGTTGTTCTTTGACTTGGCTTGCCCAGAAATCTGAGACGATATTTGTCTTCCTATACTACATACCTCATCTCCAGAATGGATCCATTGAAGTATATTTTCCAAAAAGCAATGCCGATCGGAAAGTTAGCCAAATGGTAAATGATGTTGAGTGAGTTTGATATCGTGTATGTGACTCAGAAGGCAATAAAGGCCAAGCTTTGACTGATCATCTTGCGGAAAATCCCGTCGATGAAGAGTACGAACCACTTAAGACTTATTTTAACGATGAAGAAGTGTCGTTTGTGGGTGAGTATATTTATGAAGCATATCCAGGTTGGAGATTATTCTTTGACGGAGCGGAAAATCATCAAGGTAAAGGTATTGGAGCATTCTTAGTGTCAGAATCTGGTAAGCACTATCCCATGGTAGCTAAGCTCCGATTTACTTGCACAAACAACATGGCCGAATACGAAACTTGTATTCTTGGTTTGAAAATGGCCATCGACATGAATGTTTATGAGTTATTGGTTATTGGAGACTCAGATCTTTTGATTCATCAAGTTCAAGGAGAATGGTCTGTGAAGAACAGAAGATTATACCTTACGTACGCCATGTGCAGAAGTTATGTGAAAGATTTCGTATGATCGAGTTCAGACATACTCCCAGAATACAGAATGAATTACCTGATGCTCTGGCCACCATCTTTTCAATGATTAAACATACGGATACAGATTACATCGATTTTCTGGATATAGAGTTGAAAGAACATCCAGTCCATTGTTCCCATGTTGAAGCAGAACCGGACGGTTTGCCTTGGTATTTTGATATAAAGAAGTATTTGGAGTCTGGAACTTATCCTAATGATTCTATGTCCAATCAAAAGAAGTCGATACGCCGTATGACTCTCAATTTCTTCCTAAGTGGAGAAGTCCTGTATAGGAGGACTCCTGACTTAGGTCTTCTTTGATGTGTCGATGCCGTCGAAGCTGCAAGGCTCATTGAACAGATACATGCTGGAGTTTGTGGTACGTGTATGAATGGAATCACTTTGGCAAGAAAGATCCTATGAGCGGGATATTTCTGGATGACTATAGAGAATGATTGTTGCAAGTTCGTGCAGAAATGCCACAAATGTCAAGTCCACGGTGATTTGATCAGAGTGCCACCTCACGAACTTAATGCTATGATTTCACCTTGGCCATTCGTAGGGAAATGGATGTTATTGGTCCGATAGAGCCAGCCGCTTCTAATGGACACAGATTCATTTTGGTTGCCATCGATTATTTCACTATGTGGGTGGAAGCAGCTTCTTACAAGTCGGTAACCAAGAAAGTGGTGGTTGATTTTGTTCGCAACAATCTGATATGTAGATTTGGAATGCCAGAATCCATCATTAGTGATAATAGCGCAAATCTCAACAGTCACTTGATGAGAGAGATATGTGAGCAATTTAAGGTCACTCATCGAAATTCAACTGCTTATTGCCCCCAAATGAATGGAGCAGTAGAGGCCACCAATAAGAATATAAAAAGATCCTGAAGAAAATGATTGACAAGCATCGAGGTTGGCATGAAGTGCTAGCATATGCTTTACTGGGTTATCGAACGATGGTCAGAACGTCGATTGGTGATACTCCATACTTGCTAATATATGGAACAGAGGCAGTCATACCTGCTGAAGTTGAGATACCATCATTGAGAATCATCCAAGAAGCTGAGTTAAGTGATGTTGAATAGGTCAGTAAGAGGATTGATCAACTAACTTTGATTGATGTGAAGAGAATGGTTGCCGTCTATCATGGTCAGTTGTATAGACAGAGAATGACTCGTGCCTTTCACAAGAGAGTGAGAACCAAAAATTTTGAAGTTGGCCAGTTGGTTCTGAAGCGTATTTTTCCTCATCAAGACGAGTACAAAGGAAAGTTCACACCAAACTGGTAAGCACCATACATGGTTCGCAGAGTATTATCTGGAGGTACTTTGGTCCCGTCGGAGATGGATGGCACTGTATGGCCCAAACCTATCAACTTAGATGCTATCAAGAGATACTACGTGTGAAGTTTCATTTTGCATTTCTGGTATTTACTTGTAATCATTATGTTTGCTTGTATTTGTTTTGCTTAAATTCTTATCCCTCTTGTAATGAGTCTGACCTGAATTCTCGAGAACGAGATACGTAGGCGGCCTATGTCGGCCTCGGTCACCCCCTTTTATCCCCTCTAATTATTTCTTTGTATCTGAACTACGTTCGACCTGAAGTCTCAAGAATGAGATACGTAGGCGGCCTGTATCGGCGAAGCTTTTGTAAATGCTTTTTATTTTGTTAATCTTTAAGGGGAACTACGTTTGATGTGATTCCTGCCTCAACGGGATACGTAGGCGCCACAGGGGTTCGGTCATATCTCCTGCAAGATTTATATTCCTCTTTACGGTAGAACTGGGATAGAATTTTTGAGAGGGACTCAAAAATTCTCTAGAAGAAGATTCCTCCTCAGCAAGTTAAACTAATGTTATTTAGAGATCTGCAACTGGGACAGAATTTTGAGAAGGTCTCAAAAATTCCGCTATGTGTTCAATTATACTAGAAAGATAAGCAAGACAGTTAACCGGGACAGAAATTTTGAGGATGGCCTCAAAATTTCATTACAGGTTTTACCTACAAGTACAGAGTGACTCTGAAAACTTACCAGCGGATAATCGGATAGACCTCCAAACATCAGACTCAAAGAGTTTGTTAAGCCTGATATGACATGACTTGCCAGTGACCTTTTTAAGATACTATTTCTCGAATATTCACTCTTTTAATTTCCCTTTTGCTATTTTACTTGTTTTGGCATAAAATACTTTATCTTATCTATTAAGAGTTGGGAGATCGGAAAACCAATCAGAGATATAAAGACAAAGAGCAAAGAACTAAAGAAATCGACACAGATCAGTACGTTTTTAAAACTAACAATTTTTCTGTGGACGCAGGTTTATAGCCTTTCTTTGAAATTGGCAAATTCTTCCGATGAATGAATACGGAGAACTCCAAAGAGGAGAAAACTATCCCAAAATCAATGGTTTTACTAAAAGCAAGAGGCATTTTATATCACTTATGTAGAAGACTTGGGAATATGAATTGTTTATTTCAATCAAACTCCAACAACATGAAATTTACAAAGAAAGTCTAGCCATATTCAAAGGTGAATCAAACAGGAGTTTCAACGGAGAGTTTACGGTTTCCATAAAGGATGCTATTTGCATTACATTATCAAACAAGATAGTTATTGTCAATCAAGACAATGCATTATATTATATGGAGGTCGTCTTGTCGTTGTCATCAACAGAGATGATATGAATATTCATGCATTGCGAGTTAAAAACCATGCATCGCGGGAAATCATGCATTGCGAAAAATCATGCTTCGCAGAAAATCATGCATCGCGAGAAATCATGCATCGCGAGAAATCATGTATTGCGGAAAATCATGCATCGCGAAAAAATCATGCATCGCGAGTCAAAAAACCATGCATCGCAGAAAATCATGCATTGCAGAGAATCATGCATCGCGAAAAATCATGCATCCAGAGAAATCATGCATCGCGAGTCAAAAATCCATGCATCGCGGGAAATCATGCATCGGAGGAAACCATGCATCACGGAAAATCATGCATCGCGAGTCAAAAATCCATGCATCGCGGGAGATCATGCATCACGAAAAATCATGCATCGCAGAAAATCATGCATCGCGAGAAGATTTCATACCTCGCTAAAATTTATACATCGCGAGAAGATTTCATACCTAGCTGAAATTTATGCATCACGAGAAGAATCATGCCTTGTTGAAATTTATGCATCACGAGAAGATTTCAGACCTCGCAGAAAGTTATGCATTGCGAGAATATTTCATACCTCACAGAAACTTACGTATGACAGAAAGATATTCATACCTTGCAGAAAGGCATGCACGACTAAAAAAGGGAAATTGTGTATCCCAAGAGGAATATTTATCCATCGGCATCAACTGCATTCTTTTATTTTGATAAAAGTAAACATCAAGAAGAGCATCAAAGACGACGTCAAAAGAAATATCAGCATCGCATCAGCAGTTATTTATTTCGACATCAAGTGAAGTGTGCATTGAAGATTATATTGCAAATACAAGGCATAAGCTCTATTTGCTTCACGACAGACTAATCGAGTTGACATCAAATATCAAGGAGAACAATGGAGTGTCGGCAATCCTAATTGAATTTTTTAGCTGATGAGTTTTATCTCAGTCTTTGTCGAGATCATCCGAAAGGATGAATTCTCCAGAAAACCATAGGTGCGGATAACGTCAAAGGGACGCAGCACAACGTGGAACTTTTTCTTAGCAGCGAACTGGGATGCAGTCCAAAGAGGAATGTCAAACTCTTAGGACGCGAGCAGAGGAGCGACTTCCACCACAATAGAACCACCCTTATCGGAAAGACATGTGGGTTCTTCTTTAGTTTTGTCAGTTTTAGTCTCGCATCTAGAAATTTTTATTTACCGGAAGCAAGTCTCCGATCTAAGTGACAGTGCACCACAGTCATGGATAAGAGGTCACAAACCTCCTCTTCATACTCATTTAATTTGTCACTTATCCAAAACCAAAGGTTATCTAGCATAATATATTTCCTTTTCAACCGATCGAGTTGAACTACAAGCGGCCTGATTCCTGAGGTATAAGGATGTGTAGGCGGGCTCAATGTCAAAACTCGGCTGTATTCCAACATCTGCTCTTAAATTTTATTCTCGAGCATCTTGGTACCTTCATAATTCAATATCGAGGTGGATTTTGAATTCTTTCAAAATTGTGCATTAAATCAAGCTTATCGAACTACAAGTGGCCTGAATTCTCATATAGCTTGAGATATGTAGGAAACCCGTTTCAAGGGTTCGGCCATAATTCCTAAACCCTTTGCCAAATCCTCCCCTTAAAGATGAATGGGGTTGGTCAATTTCATTCTCCACGAATTGCTTATATCAATCCAAGTAAAATGAGAGACAGTTGTTGACACCCAATTTTGACTCTCCACAATATAAATTAATCATCGAGCTTCTTAATTCTCAACATTAGAATAATTAGTTCTTTAAAATTTAAAATAGTTTGTTAAGTTTATCTTAAATAGTTTTGTCACTTTTTATAAATCTTTTTTTATAATGTATATGTCTTACATGATTAGATATAATTAGTATATTTTACGAATATTCAAAAATCATCTATGTATTGGTTATTTGTTTATTAAAGTTACACTTTATATTTGCGAATTAATTAGTTTGATTATGCTTTGTTAAGGTTAAGAGGCTCGTTAATTAATAATTATTCATATTATTTTAGTTTTAGTCAAATTTGCGAGTTAAATCCGATTTAGCTAATTTAATATTTCATATAGCTTGTCTTAAAACCAAATTTGGGCCTTTATTTTCTTCCCTCCAGCCCATTCATTATTACCCATCCCACATACAATATCCCATTACAGTCAGTAACTCAACAAATCTCAGGCCTAATTTGTTCAAATTTCCAACCCACAAAAAGCGGCCCAAAACTTGACCCAGCCCGTTTCAGCTCTTCTACCCAGCTATTCATTAGTTGGCTCGACCCAATCTAGGTCACAAGAGAGGTAGCGTTCTAGATGCTCTAACGTCTTCCCAAAAAAGATAAATGGCAGCAGACGCGTGAACCCCACTTCGGATCCCCGACGCACCTCTTTCATCTCACGCGAGCGCGCATCGACGGAAAGCCACCCAGATACGGTGTGATTTCACGGCATGAGACGGAAGAAAGGACTGTCGTGCATTTTGTTTCTTCTTGCTTTTCTGGTGCAGATTGGTGCAACGAATAGAGTGAGGTGGCCAAATCTCGTGGTGTGTTCATCCTTGCCAAGAAATTGGACGACCCAGATTGTTTGGCCGTTAGGCAACTGTATGATTTCGCGCATGTCTCCAGCCAATAACTCTG